ACTGAACCTCTCTGAATTTTGGCTTACTTATCTATAAAATGGTATGATAATATTTGCTTCATAGGGCTTCTATAAGAAATATACCAAAGTAAACACTGAATAAACAGTAGCTATCATGTCATAATTATCACATCATCATAAGGAAAATTTAGAAAAATTAGCATACACTCAAACATTTACTGAGGAACTATCACATGCTAGTTAGTATCTAGGCACTAGGAATACAATGGAAAAAAAAAAAAAGGCCACTATAGAGAGGACCCGAAGTATATTTTATGTTGAATCCGCATTTCGTAGTTCATCTCAAGTACAAACTTCATATTCTGTTTCTTAATTTCTAAGTAGGGCAATTATTTTAAGTTCCTCCTATAAAAATTAAAGGTTGATTTTTTTTCCCTTTGAAAGGGAAAAAAATAAGAAATTGTCAGGTTCAACCAATTAGGGCATGTCTAAGAAATCCTGAAATCTGAAAAACGTGATAAAACTTTAATTTAAAAGGAACCTACAATTAACACCACCTTTCAAAATTATTCTGAAATTAGTATAACAAATTATATTCAGATGTAAAATACACAAAATAGACCAATCTGTTATTGTGATAATCTTTTCAGAAAGGTTTGGGCTAACAAATGTAAGGATTTAAAATCAAGTTCAATGGGGCGCCTGGGTGGCTTGGTTGGTTGAGTGTCTGACTTCGGCTCAGGTCATGATCTCACAGTCCGTGAGTTCGAGCCCCGCGTTGGGCTCTGTGCTGACAGCTCAGAGCCTGGAGCCTGTTTCAGATTCTGTGTCTCCCTCTCTCTCTGCCCCTCCCCTGTTCATTCTCTGTCTCTCTCTGTCTCAAAAATAAATAAACGTTAAAAAAAAATTTTTTTTTTAATTTTAAAAATAAAAAAATAAAATAAAATCAAGTTCAAGTTTGTATTTCATTTGCTCATTCCACTTAAATGACAGATGGCTTAAATATTAACCCTATTAACAAAACATCTGCACTTTCATTACGAATCTACTTGCCTTACTTCATAACTCCATAAATTCATTTTATTAATTTTACTGTATGGTTGCCCATTTCATTCAAGGTCTTCTAAACCCTTGCCTCTCCAAGTGTGGTTCTATAACCAGAGCATCAGCATCACCTGGAAACTTGTTAGAACTACAGAATTTTATTCTGCATACCAGACCTACTGAGTCAAATGTGCATTAAAAAAGAATCCCCAAGTGAGTTTTTTTTTTTTTTTAATGTTTATTTATTTTTGAGAGACAGAGAGAGAGCACGAGTGGGGAAGGAGCAGAGACAGAAGGAGATACAGAATCCAAACCAGGCTCCAGGCTCTTAGCTGTCAGCACAGAGCCCGATATGGGGCTGGAATCCATGAACCCTGAATGACCTGAAGTTGGATGCTTAACCGACTGAGCCACCTAGGCACCCCCTCCCCCAAGTGATTTTATGCACAATGAAACCTGAATAGCAAAGTTTTAAATTCTTGATCTTTTTCCATACTTTTTTTTTTTTTAACAGTATTACAAAAAGTTTATTTGCTTCCAAACACTGATTGACTTATCTCCAGATAGTAACTCTTCATCAAGAATAATTCAATTCAGGGGCGCCTGGGTGGCTCAGTCGGTTGAGCGACTGACTCTTGGTTTCAGCTCAGGTCATGATCTCACGGTCTGGTTTGTGAGTTCGAGCCGCATGGGGCTCTGTGCTGACAGTGCAGAGCCTGCTTGGGATTCTCTCTCTCCCCCTTCTCTGCCCTGCCCACCCTCAAAATTTAAAAAAAAAATTTTTTTTTAAAGAATATTTAATTCAGACAAATAAATCCAATTGATATACATATATTAGATGTTCTCTATATAATATTTATGTCTCAGACTTGACCTCCCCTCTCAACCATGATTTCAAGTCTTAGAAGACTTGCTGTACTATCCATATTTTCTCAAGTCAACATTTTTGTGAGCATTAGCATGTGGCCACTGTGACAAAATCTTCTGTGTAATTAAACAACTATATAGAACAATACCAGAACAGTTCCCCCCATAATTTCAGAAAAAAATGAAAAATTCAAAATAATTTCAACCAAGGTTGAACTTGAAAGTTCCCTAGGGGGGGGAAAAAAAAGAAAGTTCCCTAGGGAAAAGACGACCAGAATGATTCTATCCTCCACAATAATATATTTTTATGCTTTACCTAACACATATTTTTTACTGCAGGTACCACATAGTTTTAAAATAAGAAATTCACATGGGACTTAGTACAGTTCTTTAGATGGCTCATCTTTTATTATTACTATTACACAATAGTCACAGTGCACATAAAATAGAACAAATCTTGTTTTCTCTTTCGCTTTTCCAAAAAGAAAAATGACAGACCTAGGCTGAAACTGATCACAGCAGGTAGGATGCTTCAGCACAGATTCAAAGGAAGGTACAAATGTTCAGTTTTCAAAAGCACTGCAAAAGCCAACTTCATCTCTTGTCACTGGAGCTGTGGCTTTATGCCAAACATTTGAGAACTGTTGAAAAGTGCCATTCCTCATAAGCAATTATGAAGAGCTTTGCAAAAAGAAGGGGAAAAATAACTGCAATAACAATGAACTCCTTACAATAGCCAAATGTCCATGGCCTCTGGGCTGCAGAATAAGAATCCAAGAGTTACCCATGTACATCTGAGCCAACGCACCCAACACGGATGCCTTGGGAGAAAGAGTTTGAAGGGGTGTTTAGAGAAGGTGTGAAGGAATGTTATGGGCAATCTCAGAAATTAAATATGTCCTCAAACATGCCCAGGTTTTTTATAAGACACAATTATAGATCAGTCATCCTTCTATTTAACTTTACTCATGCCTTTTTGCATTTGCAGACTATATAATTTTCCAGAATATAGACAGCATTCTACAAGAGTACAACTAAGTATTGAAGTCCCTTTTTATGGCCCTAGATATATTGATTTCAAGCTTTAAGTAGTGTCCCTAGCTATAATATTCAAAAATTTGGCGAACAATTCATTATGCCCCATCTCTACTCTCATCCACAGCCAAGTCTCTCAGAAGAATGATCTAGGAATGTTAGCTCCATTCCCTCACCTACCTGTCACTCTTCAACCCACTGCATCTGGTTTGCACCACTTCACCCCACTGAAACTTCTCTTAGTAAAGACCATAAGGACCTTCATGTTGCTAAATCCAACAGACATCCCTTTGTTATCATTTTTCTCTACTTTGCAGCATCATTCAACAAAGTTCACTGTTCTCTCCCTCTTAAAACAACTTTCTGTAGCTTTGATAGACCTGCTTTCTCCTGGGTGCCTCCCAACCCCCTGTCCCTTGTCAGTCTTCTTTAGGGACTCTGTCTACTCTACCTGACCTACAAATGTTGGACTATCTTGGGACTTGGTCCTGGAATTTCATGTAATCTCGTAACTATAAATACCATCTTCATGCTGTTGACCCACCTTCAGCCTGATAACATATTTACATCTCCAACCCAGATCTTTCTTCTACACCAGTGTACCCAACTACCGACTCAACATCTCCATATGAATGTTTCATAAACACATTTAAACTCAATACATCCAAAACTGAACCCTTGGATCTTTCTCTCACTGTTCCTCCTCCAATGTTCTCGATTCCTTTACCATTTACCCAGTTGCTCCTGCTAGAAGCCCAGAAGTCCTTTACTCTCACCACTCCTACCCAATCAAGCTCCAAATCCTATCATTTTGGCCTCCAAAATATAGTTTCAATATGCCATTTCCCCAACCTCACTGTCATCCTCTCCAACACCCCCTCCCACTCTAGTCATCATCACCTGCCTGCTGCAATGGCATTCTAAGTGATCTTCCTGAATCTACTCCTATTCCCCTTCAATTCTGTCTTCAGACTTCGGCCAATGATCTTTCAAATATGAAGATTCTCCTACTTAAAACCCTTCAGTGGCTTCCAGCTTGTTTTAGGATGATGTTCACAAGGCACCTGTATACCTCTCCAGACAATCTCGCCTCATGCTATCATTCCCTTTGTCCTCTAAATACCAGCCTTATTCTTTTCTCCATACATTATACATGCAGAGGTTTTCCAGGTGTAGGGCCTTTGCATTTGCTGCAAACTCTACCTGAAATATCTGTTCTTTTACTCTTTTCCTACCCATTGCTACCCAAATCACACTACCATACACATGCACAGGCACGATCCAAAACTTCAGGGTCCACAACTAAGTCAAACCAGATCGAAAGGAACTGAATGATTAGCAACGCTTGGCGTTAAAATATACCAAACATACCACCACCACAACAGAAAATAATAATAGCAAACCCTTCTATAAATGTATAACGCACTGATTTAAGTAATGTATATATGTTGACTTATTCATTGCTCACAACAGCCTTATGAAGTGGTTACTATTACTATCTCTATTTTAAGGTAAGTTAAATAAGGTACAGAGGGGATCCATAACTTAACCAAGGTCACAGAAATTCAGTGGCAAAGCAAGGATTGAAATTTAGTCCTTCTTCTGTGGGAGTGCCTGACTGCCTGTAGCGTGACAACTTGGTTACGGACTATTCAACCATTGCTTCCACATAAGGGGTATGGAACCGGTCTAATAATTACAAAGTTATTTGGATAAATACTGTGTCCTCCGCTAGACTGGAAACATAAATGAGGGTAGGGACCATTTCGATCTTGTTCACTGATGATATATTCCCATCACCCTGAATAAAATCTAACACATAATTGACGCTCAGTAAATAATCTATATTAAATATATGATTACTCCCTTGCATAATTATTTTGAGACTGTATTGGGTCCAAACATGAGATATTACATAGATTTTTTTTTGTTAGCTGTAGCCATTCCTGTCAGTCCCGCAGTGTTCCCTCCTCCTGCCTGCATGGCATTCGAGGACTGAATCCTGCGTGGCATCTGGCCACGGTCTACCCTCCCTCCCCCACCTACCCCACAGGAGTGAGCGCCTCGCGGCTTTTCCCTCCCTCAGGCCTCACCTTCCATGTGAGGGAAGAGGCTGTCCCCGGGCCCTGACCAGGACCAGGAGGCTCTCCGGTGCCTGAGGGCATGAAGCGTCCATACCGCTGCAGAGGCCATTGGGTGGCACCTCCTCCCGGGAACGCGAGGCCTGCAGGCTCTTTTCCCGCCTCCGCCATGTTCAGCTTCCCGACGTGCACTGCAGGCGGGCACCTGCCAATCTGCGCAGCCAACCAATCAGGAAGCGAGACGGCCCAAAGCCCACCTCCCCCACTAGTGGAAGCCAATGGACGGGCCCGAAGACTCCTGCATGCTTCTGAGGCTGTGGGCACCTGAACTCTTGTGACCTTCTCCTCTTCCTTGGCAAAGTGGAGAGAGTAACTTCCACCTTGAGGAGGGGCTGGGACTCTAGGAGATAGTAGTTGGCCTCTCCTCTACATCCTTGAGGCCCTCACCTTCCCTCAGGCCGCCCGTGTCACTGTCCAGCCCCTCAGACTGGGACATTTCCGAAAGCTGGCGGACTCCCTGTAACTACGCGCTGAGACTAGGCCCGCTGACTGAGGCTGCGTGGACAAGTATATTTCCCTTACTCACAGCAGCCTTTCAGATGACAGTGCCCCTGCCCACCCCAAACCCATCACAACACAGCATCAATTCCACCTGCCGTTCAGGAAGTAAGGCTATTTTCTCCTCGTTCTGTGGACATACTCCCTCCAGACCCTTAAGTTCTCTCCAAAAGAGAAAAGCAAATAGGTAGCATGCTGCAGGCAATAAAAGATGTGCCTCAATCAAACAGCAGGTGCAACTAAATGACAGGTCTGGGTGATTTAGAGTCGTTGACAAAGCACTTCTACATCTGTTATTTCATTTGCCCTCCCAACAACCTTGTGAATTAAGCAAAAAAGAGATTATTGCCCCCCATTGAATAGATGGGAGGCAAAATAAGGCCCTGAGGGTCAAAGCGATTTGCCCAGGGTTACACAACCAGAGCAAAACTGTCGTCTCCACAATCTCTCCCAAGTGTCCACCCCACTTGCCAAGATTTTAGGTAGTCACCGAGTCTGTGTCAAGTCAGAAGCAGAGTATACAGAGGATGGAGACTATGTTAACCAAACCCATAAAATAGAGTTATAATGCAAATAATTTTTTAACATTTATTTATATTTAAGAGAGAGAGAGGGGCGCCTGGGTGGCGCAGTCGGTTAAGCGTCCGACTTCAGCCAGGTCACGATCTCGCGGTCCGTGGGTTCAAGCCCCGCGTCAGGCTCTGGGCTGATGGCTCAGAGCCTGGAGCCTGTTTCCGATTCTGTGTCTCCCTCTCTCTCTGCCCCTCCCCCGTTCATGCTCTGTCTCTCTCTGTCCCAAAAATAAACAAACGTTAAAAAAAAAAAATTAAGAGAGAGAGAGAGAGAGAGAGAGAGAGCAAGCGGGGGAGGGGCAGAAAGCCAGAGACAGAATCTGAAGCAGGCTCCAGGCTCTGAGTTGTCAGCACAGAGCCTGGTATGATGCTTTAATCTACAAACCCCGAGATCATGACCTGAGCCGAAGTCAGTCGCTCAGCCAACTGAGCCACCCAGGTGCCCGGTGCAAGTAATTTTTTTAATGTTTATTTATTTTTGAGAGAGAGAGACACACACACACACACACACAAAATCTGAAGCAGTCTCCAGGCTCCAAACTGTCAGCACAGAGCCTGATGTTGGACTCGAACTCACAAACGGTGAGAGATCATGACCTGAGCTGAGGTCGGACACTCAACAGACTGAGCCACCCAGGTGCCCCACATATAATTTTTAAAACTGAATGTCAAAGGGTAGTAAGTGGATAGACAATGGTTGGAGAGGTGGTAACTTATTCATCCTTCAAAGCACCGATTAAATACCCACAGTGTGTCTAGTCACCCTTTGTTTACAGAAATGGTTAAGGCATGCATCTAGCCTTCTAGGACCTCAGCATCTTATAAGAAAGGTGAGAGGTACCCATGATACCTGATAGCTACTGCCACGTGAAAGGTACAAACCATGTTCTCTAAGGATTCAGAGGAAGAATGGCAGTGGCATTTCAGTGTGAACTTGAAGGGTGAGAAATTTTCCCAAGGGAAGACAGAAGAAACTGGAGGGCAAGTTGAGGAGCAAAGTTTCAGGGGTGAAGATAGTGACATAACCAGCTAGAGCGCAAGGTGTTTTAAGGAAGATGAAGCCACAAAGTTGAGTTGGGCCAAAGAGCACTGAACAGCAGCTTAGGAGAGTGAATTTTACTTGGTAGGTGATAAGCAGCTTGGAGCGTGTGTGTAGGGGAGTGACACTGTTATAATGGTGGTCTAAGGCAGGCTAATTTTGGGGGGGCATACAGAATAAATTGCATTCAAGGCAAAGGATATATGTTACTTATCTTTCCATTAGCCAGTAGAGCTTGAAAGGGTCAGATTTCAGAAACTGTTTCTGAAGGTCCTCAAATGACACAGCACTACTGCATTTAATGTAGTAGTGAATAGTTAGAAATTTGGTTGGAATCCCAGTTCCACCACTTGCCAGCTGTGTGACCTTGGGGAAGTCACTTAACCTCTCTGTAAAATAGGGTTAGCAAATACAGGGCCACAGGAAGGATAAAATAAGATCCTATGAGGGAAAATACTTGGTAAGTTACAAAGCAGTACACATGTTGGTGCTTTCTATTTGCAGGGTTAAAGTGACTTTCTGTGGGCTCCCTGTAGGCAGGAGGATGAGAATGGGAGCCTGACATTCGGTCTCAGAGGCACTCACCTTCCAGGTCCAGGGCTGTGGATGCTGTCAGACACCCTTCACAGGAGCAGATGGTGCTCACAGTTGGGACCCTGTCAGTGCCCAAGGACACCCAGGGCCCTGCTGGGTTCCCACCTGCAAGCTCCCTTCCTAGACAATGCACCTGTGCTTGAGCTTCTGGGGCCACCAGTGTCTGCCAAGAACAGATCATGTCTGCAAAGGGAGATATGAGAAAGCCACACCACAATGCACAGAGGCTCTTAAAAACTTACGATATTAACAAATGCGACTCGAGCATTCAAAAGGTCCCAGATGCTGTGCTAGGTGCTGGGGATACAGTAGAGAACAAACCGGGTATGGCTTCTACCCTCCTGAAGCTTACAGTCTAGCAAGAGGGTGGAGGGAGTTGGGGAGGGGGTGCAGAACACTGAGCAAATTACTCCTTATTTTTAATGGTCATTGTATTTTCTTTCTTAAAGATAGATCTATAATATTTATTGAGGTACAATTTTATACAATGAAAGCACAGAGCTTACATGTTCAATTAAGGAAGTCTGGGCACCTACACTCGTATAATCGCCATCCAAAAAAAAGATATAAAACATTTCCAAAAGCCCCAAGTTCTCTTAGGAGTGCCTTGTTCTTGTCAATCTCCAACTCCCAAGAGCAACTGTTGGTCTGTTTTTTATCACTAAGGCTTGGCTTTCCTTTTCCTGGACTTAATATACATGAAATCATACAGAATGTACCCTTTTATATGTGCTTCCTTTGGTCAGCATAAATTTGTCTTTTACCTTCATCCTGTGTTGTTATGTGTATCAGTAATCCATTCCTTTTTAGTGCTAAATAGCATTCTATTGTATGATTGTGTTGTAATTTGTTCTTCACCTGTTGATGGTCATTTGGGTTGTTTTTGGTGCTCTTTTATTTTTTATTATTATTTTTTAACATTTATTTATTTTTGAGAGACAGAGTGAGACAGAGCACGAGTGGGGGAGGGGCAGAGAGAGGGGGGCGTACCCAGAATCCAAAGCAGGCTCCAGGCTCTGGCTGTGAGCACAGAGCCCGACGTGGGGCTAGAACTCGTGGACCACGAGATCATGACCTGAGCCGAAGTCGGCCGCTTAACCGACTGAGCCACCCAGGTGTCCCGTTTTTGGTGTTTTTTTAAAGCTGTTAGGAATATTTTTTGTACCAGTCTTTTTCGGAGATATGTGCTGCCACTTATATTCAATATATGCCTAGGAGTGAAATTGCTGTATTCTAGGGAGATGTATTTTTATCATATACAAAACTGCCAATGAGGGGCGGCCTGGGTGGCTCAGTCAGTTAAGAGTCTGACTCTTGATTTCGGCTCAGGTCATGATTTCACAGTTTCTGAGATCCAGCCGTACATCCAGCTCTGCTGACAGTTCAGAGCCTGCTTGGGATTCTCTCTCCCTCTCTCTCTGCCCCTTCCTCACTCTCTCTCTCTCTCTCTCTCAAATAATAAATAAGCTAAAAAAAAACTGCCAAAGAGTTTGTGACAGGGGTGCTTATACAATTCACACTCCTTAATAGCAAAATATGAGAGGTCCAGTTGTCCTCACTGACCTTTGCTATGTCAAGTCCTTTTAGTTCAGCAACTCTAGTGGATATATAGTGACGTCTCATTGTAGTTTTAATTTGCATCTCCTTGATGATAAATAATATTCAGCCCATTTCCAATGGCTTACTGGCCATTTGCATATCTTATTTTATGAAGTGTCTGTTCAAATCATTTGCCGTTATTCATTTGTAAGAGTTCTTTACATAGTCTGGATATAAGTCTTTTGTCGGATATATGTGTTGAAAATATTTTTCCCGTGCTGTGATTTGTCTTTTCATGTTCTTCATAATGTTTTTCAAAGAGCAGAATTATTTAATTCTGAATGGAAACAATTTATTAATCTTTCAGGTGCTTTTTTTTCTTTAGTGCTTTGTGTGTCCTAAGAAATCTTTGCATACCCTAAGGTTGTTCACATGCTTTCCTATGTTTTCTTCTAGAAATTTTATGGTTCCAACTTTTACATCTAGGCATATGGCCCTAAATTGTTTGGAGGAAATGAAGTAGGACTTAAGGTTGGTTTTTTTTTTATGCAGATATGCAATTAATGTTAGATAGGAACAACCTTTTACCAAGGACTGTTGGAAATTGGCATATAAATACCCCAATCTCTTCACTCCTCAGGTGGGATAACTTTGAGATTTGTGTAATACCCTGTTTCCCAGAGTTCACTCATGGGATTAGGCTCCAGTTACCCAAGCTGTAACTTTCTTCATAATGTTTCTGTTTTTGGCTAGCTTCCCTTCCCGGTCTCCCTCTCCTGTCTTTCTCCCCAACCACTGTTTCCTGGAATTGCCTCTCAGATAAATTACTTTCAGGAATCTTTGTCCCAAGGTCTGCTTCTGAGGGAACC